ATATGTTAATCACTTTTGAAAATTACCCTTGGAACTATGTGAAAATTGCCATGAAGTTAGGTCAAAATCCTGCCTAAACTAGGGCAAAATTTCACTAAGTTTCCAAGTTTCATGAACATGTATTCACAAAATCATAACTTGAAATCCATGCATTTCTAGGAAAAGTTTCATTTTACAATGTTTTAGATCTAATTTAGATCTAAAACTTTCATGTTGAAAGTTTCCTTTAAATCATCTTGCATCATGGTGAAAAATTGGCTCAAAGTTGTGAAAAAATATGAAGTTTTCAACACTTAGAAAAATTTCTAAGTTTAGAAATTTTGACTTTTCAAAATGAAATCTTGAATTTTTGATTTCTTGATGAAAAAGTTTCACATTTTGAAATTTTTGATGAATTATGATCTTTGACACTTGATTTTGACCAAAAAGTCAAAGTTTGACTTTTCAGTGTACCTGACTTTTTCCCAATACAGCTGATTTTTAGGTTAACTGGTCAATTGACCGAGCAAAAAAATATGATCCAAGACTTCAAATTTGACATGAACAATCTTGAGGGTCCAAAATGATCCATGAAAGTCATACGAGGCATTAAAATTTCAACTATCCTTGTGCAATCTCAAACCCTAATTTTCAGTCATCAGTGCTTGAGGAGGTGTCTTGAGCTGATTAACCCTAGTGCAGTCTTGAACCAAAGGAGATATTGTGAGAGATTACTTGATAAATGAGAGGTCAAATTTTGGGGTACAACAGTGGCTAACATTCTTAAAAATAAATATTATCCTTACTCAGATATCATAGAGGCTAACCTAGGAAACAACCCTAACTATCTGTGGAGAAGTCTCCATAGTTGTATTTGGATCATTAAACAAGGTAGCTATTGGAATATTGGGAGAGACAATTCTATCAACATCTGGGAGCATAAATGGATTCCAACTCACAAAAGTCTGAAAATCCTCTCTAAGAAACCTAGGGAGAGCAAGGTGGAGCAGGTGGTGCATCTTATTGATAAGCTCACATGTAAATGGAAGGAAGAGATTATTGAATCTCATTTCAACAAAACAGACATATGAAGGTGTAAAAAACACAGTAAGTATGGGTTTGAATTGGGGTTTAAATAAAAAACTTTTCCTTTTAAAATCCCCTTTTAATAAGAAACAAGTTACTTCACTTATTGATAATAGTGATAATATGCAAGAAGAAAACAACAAGAATGTGTATACTAGTTCACTTGAAAACTATCAAGATAGTCTAGTCCATCCGCCAAGGTGATTTTGCCTTTCTCAACAAGGTCTTAATCCAATAATCACACACATTATTACAATTCATGAGCTAACTGCAAATGACTAACGTTACAACCTCTAAGACACACTAATCTTAGACTTCTCAAGGGTTCTGACCAACTGGTCCCTTAAGACAAATCAAACAACTGTTTGAACAAAGTTTGTTTATAAAAGATATGCTTCTAAATAAGCGAATGAGTAAACAAAATTTCAAGAATATAAACTTAAGAAATAAGAAAGTGTGTGAACAGTCTTGTAAGAATGTGATTTAACAGCCTTCTCTCTTAGTCTTCAAGCCCTTTTATAACCAATAAAACATTATAACCGTCAGAGCGTATTTCTGGAATTTCCAGAAAGCTGGAAACTTGAATCATGTGGGGAACAAGATTGTACTCGACGTCTGTCCTTCATGGTAGTGGAATGAAATAATTTGTTTGTACCATGTACTTTTGTACCATGCAATCTTATCCTCTTTTCTTCTGACGTCAGAGGCTTCTGATCAACCATGCGTTGGAAGAATGAGAATAACACTTGGGTCTTTAGAACTTCAATTCTTCAGAGTCTTCAGAACTGCGTCTTTAGAATCTTCAGCACTTGGTCTTCAGAACCCTTTGTCTTCAAAAACATAAGTCTTCAGCATCTAGACTCGTTCATCAGAACTATTGTCTTCAGATCTTTCAGAACTTGGTTTCTTGACCGTGTATCAGAGTCACTACTTCAGAGCCTTCTGAAGCGTTTTACTACTGTTCATCAGAACTTGTGTAGCCCAGAAGTGGAACTTGTTCTCTTCTAATGTCTTGGCAGCGTCGTTTATTAGAAGTAGAACCTGTTTGTTAAATCTTAAAAATAACAAATATTAGAGTACCAAAATTGTTCATACAAACATACTGATTTGTTATCATCAAAACTCAGATAAAATTGTAGAACCAAATCTTGTTCTAACAACATAGAATATATCCTTCATCTCCCATTAGACGACCTTAAAGAGGAGGACTCCCTATGTTGGAAGGCCATTAAAAATGGTAACTATAGTGTCAGGCCTGGCTACCACAACATCATGGAGTAGAGGGCCAACCCTAATTCAACTAATAAGAGCAACAACACTGATAAAGAGGTTTAGAAAAGGATCTGGAGTAGCAAGTCTACTCCTAGATAGCAAGTTCTAATCTGGAAACTTATCCATAACATCATCCCTAGCAAAGACAACTTAAATAAGAGAGGGATCCCTTGCAACCCATTTTGTCCTAGATGTCCTACCACTATGGAGAATTCCAACCATTGTTTCAAAAATTGCCAATGGGCTCAACACATATGGTTTGGATCCTCCTCAACCTTAAATTCTATAACTCTCAAGAAGAATTTTCAGATTTTCTCTTTTACAATCTGGAACATCTTTCACCATATAACCTAGCTCTCCTTATCAACCTATTTGTTGGTATCTGGCTATCTAGAAACAAGAAGATTTTTGAAGAGCATAACATACCCGCGGAAGAGGCAATTTCTCAAGCTATTAACAACACCCAACTCTTCTTCAAAGCTACCATGCATAACCCACACAAGAAAAACAATACTAAAAAGCAGAGTAATCAAAAACCAAACCAGGACAAAGACACCAACAACAAGAATTACCTTGGAAATAAGGCAATAGGAGCTCAAGAGGCAGAACCGACATAAAACAACCTCAACAACAACATCAGGGGAAATTATCAGAATAGTAGACATGCTGATAATAACAACATAAACATCCATCAACAATAGAATAATTAAAGTACCTCAATTGCTTACCAAACATCTACCTTTGATATGGAGCCTACAGATAACAATAAATTCAATGTTAGAAGAACTAAGAGACATATCAGAAATAAAGACCTTCAATCCAATCTTAATAGACACCACAATAATCTAGACAGTACCGATACCTCTAACAATAACACGAGGAACAAAAACCTAGCAGGGCCACAACCTGGAAACAATAACCATAACATGAATGTTAGAAACATCAAGAACATTACCAGACAAACAAACCCTAACAACAGAGACCGGAGCAAAAAGTACGAAACCTTGTCCAATCAAAAGCATAAGAAGAAGAATATCTTAACAAACCTGAAGATGACAACGAAACCCATTAACAATATCCACATCTCGCATTCCTACACAAACAAATCATATGATAATCAACCTCAAAGGATCAACACACCTAATTATCACATGACTAATAAAGATAACATAAGACAAATTAAACCCCTGAGTATCGACCATACCAACACCGAAGAAGACGATCCGCGCTCGAGCAAACACATGCAGCGAAGAAGACAAGCGATCGGTAATCAGATTAAGCCAAATAACAAAAACAACAACAATATCGCAGGGAACAACAAAAGTAAAAGCCCTTACCTTATAAACTAGAGATGTGAAGTTCAAATCAACACTAATGCTAGCCTCAGATTCAAAGGAAGGTGGGGATGAAAACAGTCAAATGAAACGGCGATGGGGACATGATAGAAGAGATATGATGGAGTAGAAGTGGTAGTGACAATCCTCTAGCAGCGGAAGCAATGACGATCAAGTTAGCGGTTGCGCATGCGGTTCACCGTGACTACCTAAGTATCTCTTTGGCATCAGACAACAAAATCCTCGTGGAGCTTCTCAACAACAACCACATGCAAGAGGTTAGATCAAACATCACAATTATGTGTCACTATATTCTGTGAAAACACACACTTCTTTCAGATGATATTTCATCATGTTTGTAGAGAAGAGAATATTAAAGCCCATAACACAGCTAGAGCCACAACTATTATTAACTTACAACGTAATATAAATGGGCCTATAACCCAAATTATATACCACCATGTAAATAATTTCAATTGAGTTTATTGATTGATGATTTCTATTAAAAAAAACTAAACTTCTAAATCTTTTTCATATATTACTAACTTTTTTCCTTACTCTATTCATTAAAAAAAGTCTTTAATTCAGAAAGAAAATCCAAATTAATTACATTATACAGTTACCTTTTGCTATACAGTTTATTTACCATATGATATTTTTAATTTTATTCTTTTATGATAATATGAACCTTTTTTCTAATAATAACAATATTCCAAATATATTCCTAACCTATTCCTATATTATAGTGTATAAAAAAATAGTTAAATATGATCAAATTATTTTTATTAAATACCAAACTTGGTAATTCTAACTACTTCCTAATAAATAATAAAACTTGTAAATTTTTCCGTATGCTAATAATCTTTTATTTCCAATACAATGATGAATACATCCTTTTAATAAATATTTTTAGATTAGGAAAAAATCCAGATAAGTTACCTATATTCTCTTCACCGTTTTTTTTGGCTGATGTTCACTTCATCTTTGATCACATTATTATATTTACTACTTCTTTTTTTTCCATTTATGTTTATCATTGCACCAATCATATCCTGCCACATCAGATTCCAAACATTTTTCACACGTGACTCGCGGGTGACCCCTTAAAACTCACAGTCCAGTAGCCATATAAAAAGCCACCACCGTTTGACTCTTCCAAGACAGTTCTTTTCTGCTAGAATCTTCTTTCAGTGTTTATTTTCTTTAAAGTTTCTTAGAATCAAATATTCAAAACAAAAAATTGTTTTCCTTTTCATTTCGAAAAATCTCAAAAATCTGAAAACCCTAATTCCCAATTTTCTCTTCAATTTCGGTTTCTCGTTTTTTTATATGGCTATCTACGACGGTCCTGGGTTCCGGTTCCACCCTACCGATGAAGAGATTCTTTGCTTCTATCTGAAACGGAAGCTCACCGGAAATTTACCATCCGCTTTCGACCATCTTGCTGTTATCGATATCTACAAGTTCGAGCCCTGGGACCTTCCCAGTATGTTTTGTATAACGTTTCTTTCAAATTTTTTTTTTTTTTGAATTTGGTGATTGATGTTGTTTTGATTTTGTTAGGTTTGTCGAAGCTGAAGACTAGGGATTTGGAATGGTACTTCTTCACTGTGCTGGACAAGAAGTACGGCAATAGTTTGAGGTTGAACCGTGCTACTGATAGAGGGTATTGGAAGACTACTGGGAAGGATCGCATTATCAAGAATGCGAAGGATGTTGTTGGAATGAAGAAGACTCTTGTCTATCATTCCGGGAGGGCTCCACATGGTGACAGAACCAATTGGGTTATGCATGAATACAAGATGATTGACGAGGCCTTGGCTAGAGCTGGAATGCAGGTATTGTAGTAGTGATGGATAGTGAATATTTTGTTCAATTGTTGTTTATTTGTTTATTCAATTGGGTTTTGGTTTGGTTTTAACATGAAATGAAATTTGTCTTTGTTTTGGTGGAGAAGGACACTTATGTGATCTGTAGGGTATTTGAGAAGAGTGGTTCTGGGCCTAAGAATGGGGAGAAGTACGGGGCTCCTTTTATAGAGGCGGAATGGGAGCATGTCGGTAGATTGGTGGATCCCGTGCTGCTTGTTGGTAATGAGCTTTTGATCCAAGAAGTGTCTGCTCCTGCTCCAGCACTTGTACCTGCACTTGCTCCTGCTCCTGTTCTAGCACTTGCTCCTGCTCCTTATGTTGGTGACCTGGTAGATCCCTTGCCAACTGTTGGTAATAAGTCTTTGAAACAAGAAGTATCTGCTTCTGCTCCTACTGATGATGATTTTGTTGAGGCCAAAGACCTTGATGAGGTTTGTATTGTATCCCAAATTGTGTTGATTGTTTATTGGAGTAATAATTTTGATTTTTGCTTGGGGTATAGATTGGATGCATGTTTGTGCAGTTGGATTAATTTGATTCATACTATAGCTTTGATTGTTTTGTTAATTTAACTTTTTTTAGGGTGGAGATTTATTTATTTGTTTTCATATAGGTCATTCCAGATATGTTCTTCTTGCACAAATTTTTGTCCTTATTCTGCCAAACAGTGAAGCATGAACACTAAAATTTCTTCCGAATCGCACCTGATACATACCGATACGCTGCGATACGTATTGAAGGAGTATCCAAATTTTTTATTTTAGACAAAAAGTAAGAATTCCGATATGTCACATCCCTCTTCTTTAGAACTTGCTTTGAAGCTTTATGTGCAACGTAGCTCTCTTGTTGTGAAAGGAATTTGAAGTACTTCTTCAAGGGATGAAGACTTGGGCTATGTGCATACAACTTTGAGGCTTTTAGGTAGGAAGAGTGAAGAATACAATAGAGTACTGAGATGTGTTGATGTATGGGAAAGTTTTGATAGTGTTGGAACTCTTGAAGTTGCATCTAGGGGTGTAAATGGGTTGGCTAAACTCGGAAAACCCGATCAAACTGACTCAAAAAAACGGGTTGGGCTAGATTATTGGTCGCTTCAATTTAAGTTTTTTGAACATTTGTTATTTTGAGTCATGATATTAACTTATTTAGGATGTTTTACTTTTATTATTTGGATGCTTATGCTTGTAAGTTGTAAGGATTGTGCAATTTTGGTTTTTGCAAGTATTTTTATGGCAAATTTTATTATATGTTTAGACATTTGATGCTGAAAGAATAGCGGCAATAGGTTAAACCATTTTTAAGAAAAAATAGTTAGAACATTTTTTGAAAACCATCATTTATAATTTTATAAGGAAAAAGAAAAAAAAAATGGAAATCCACTACCCAATTCAACCCACAAATTTGAGGTTTTACCCAAACCGATCCAATGATGTTGTGGATGGTTATTGTAGTCACCCAAACCGGTGTACCCTATATGGGTTGGGTCCTATTTTGGCTAAATCCAATCCAAACCAATCCATGTACACCGCTAGTTGCATCATTGTCTCTTGATGAACCAAATTTATCAGCTGGAGGAGACGACATTGATACTACTCCAATATTGTAGTTTTGATTTAATATTTAATAACATGTTAATAGTTGTATTATGAGTTTGGATTTTGTTGTATACTATCTTAAATGTATCATATACTATATTCAATGCCGTATTGGATATCAGATACCCAAATTGTTTCTGTGCTTCATGCTGTTGATTGATAGGCATCTTCGGCTTTACCTTTTTCTTTAATCTCTGATTTATGATTTCTTTTTTATATTATCTGCTTTTGCTGATGTTTCCGGCATATTTGATTCTCTTCTAATTTTATATAAATGTCTTCAATTATCAGGAGTTTGATGATACTAGTGATACAGTTGTAAGTGCTGATTTGGCGTCAAACTTCTGTTATGGGGAGTGTAGCAGTCATCCTGTTCAGCATTCCCAAGCATTTATTAGTGCTCATAAGCAAATGGAATCTGAGCTTGCTTTTTATGGTAATCAGATTGATCAGCCTGATAATATGGCTGATATATTTGATTTGGCTATCAATTCAGTGCAAGATGGATACAATGGCGAGACAATCCATAATGAGAATCCTCTGAATTTCAATTTTGAATCTGAGTATCCTGATCTATACTTTGATACCTGTGGTTATTTTATGAGTGCTGAAGAAGCATATGAGGAAACCGATGATTTTAAGAATGTTGACGAGGCTATTCCCATTGAGACAGACCCTTCTGTTGCTGCTGCAATGGTAGACGAGTACCTTGCATTCCCTGAAGAAGATATTTTCCAACATGTATGCTTTGATTCTTCTTTGAATGTAGGGAGTGAAATCCCTATTGCCAATCATGGACAACCTTTCGATGAGCAGGTTATGACTTAATCTATTTATAAGGTCACTTGTTTTACTCATTTGTACTATTATAGCTGTCTTAACTTTTTTTGGTGTCATTAACAGAATGTGGAGAGCGAAACCAGCGGTAGCTCATTGGCAGACAAACATGTTCTTGAAGCACAGTCAAGTAATGAACCTTCTTTCCCAGAGGGGGATGCAGAGGTGTCAAATTGGGTCTCAGGTGACATTTCATTCACTTCTCATCCTGATTTCTCAAGCTGTTCTTTTGATGTGTGCTCTTCTAGATTAATATAGTATGTAAACTTGTACTCTATCCCTTCTGACTTATGTTGACTACTTTAGCAGGAGACGCAAATTACTTTGTAAAGCAAGCCAAGAAATTCCTGGCCCACATGCCTGCTTCACCTGCATTTGCTTCAGAGTTTCCTACTAAGGAGTTTGCACATGGGATATCTCCTGCAGCCGAGTCTTCCAATTCCTCTCACATAACCACAGGTATGATCAGCATTACAGACATTTCTATTAGAAGCGATGCGATGGATTGGATGGTGGGCAAGAATGGAGATTTTAACACCATAATGTCTACTGGGTTTACCCAAACTGATGTTAACTCTGCTACTTTGGTTCCTCTTTCTGACCTGGTCTGTAGCAAAACTGCATTCATGTTATCACATGGTTGGGTTTTCTTGGTGGGTTTCTCAGTTGTTGTTCTTTCACTGAGTTTCAAGATCGGAAGCTTCATGTATACGGGTAAATGATAAATGCAAGGTAGGCTATGATAGGATAATCCAGTCAGTTAAGTATCCATCGGTTGATGGCACTCGTTGAATGACTAGGATTCCGTGACTGTGTAGATTTCATTACGGGAATTTAGTCACACCCGTACTTAACATTAACATTATTCGTTGTAACTTAATTCGCCTGCAATTATTTTTGGGTTTAGAGTGTTTTGGAGTTGTAGTTTGATACAATTAGTTATATACATATTACTCACTGTTATATGACTGTTATATGGTTAGTTTAACTTCAAAATATGTAACTTCTCTAACACATGGAAGATTTTGTTTCACTTGATTTTCATTGATTGCAACAAATTCTCGGTTCCGTCCATTGCAGTGGTGCCAAGGAGCTTTTTCCCTCTCAAAATCTACTGGTTTATCGATCAATGATCCAGTTGCACACCCTGTGCACTTCTCCTCAACACCCCTGACCATATTTACTTTGGCCTCCTTTGAATCACCACCTTGTGAATATTTTGTTATCACAACACATTTTTTTAAAAACTTTCCATTCATTCTTTCATAAAATACTTTCCCACTTTTGAAAAATCATTTTCATCACCATATCTTGCTAATATCATGATGCTCGTGGCTCTTCTATTATCAAAGACAAAGTTGGTGGTGGCCGCATTTTCGGTGTCTTGTGGTGGTGCTGCGGTGATTACTCCTCCTACAAGTTTAAGAAATCAAATGGCAGTAAAATATTTGAACCATTCATTATCTAATATCATATTTAACTTAACAAATTCAAAATATCCAACTAGTTAGAAGTTTATCTTCCACCAAACGCCACATTATGATATGGTTAACATTTAATTCGGTTTCATATGGAACACTTAGAACATGAATAATATTTTGGACTGAGTCTGTCTTTGCTCCAATTCCATGTGAGGTCTAGGCTTGTTCTTGATCCAATTCCATATGAGGCTCAATCTAATTATGTCGTTCAAAGTATGCTGGACAGTTCTGCCCTCGTATGTGTCGGACAACAACTACTCTCTGCGAGGAGACAGCCTCACCGCACGGGGATGAACCCAGTTACTCTAAAGAAGGTCACCGTCGGTCAGGAAGACCTCAAGGTTGCGCTACAATCCTCTCCTCGACCAATAATGGTCCTATTGCACGATCTCACGATCAGTGGGAATATCCACGACGAGCAGAAGCACCTCACGAGCATCCTCCTCGTAGGGCTGACTATCAACGTCTCTGAGTATCACAGAGTTTTCGTGGCCCTGGAAAGATCGCATCTATATCCTCATGATCTTGCGGAGGAAGTCATCCAAGTAGGGGATCACATGCGGGTTTCCACTACTCACGTAGGACCTGGCAGTCTCCACGTTGGGCCTGCTTGACCAGACCAATGAGGAGACCTTGGCCTAGCGCCGGGGACTATAAATACCCTCTCCTACGAGAGGGTCGAGTATTGAACACTTCTAACTCACTTGTTTGCTTGCTCATTTAGGAACTTACTTTGACATCAGAGTATCTTGCAGGTATCTCTCATCTCACTCTCAAATTCTACTCGGAGCAAGCTGTGACGATCCATTATGGTCAGGTATGATCAGTGAGATGGATGAGGGCTAGCCGAAGATCTTGGCGCACGAGAGATACACATTTTTACTGACTTCTAACTTGTCGCATCTCAAGTTCAAGGGGGATACCAGGCTAAGAACAACAACCTCATTGAGTATTTGAACTTGGTCAGAGAACATATAAAAAAGTTTGACCTAGCAGAAATTACACACGTACCACGCGAACAAAAGACACGGGCCGACATACTTTCAAAGCTCGCGAGTACGGAGAAGAAAGGCGGAAATAAACCAATCATACAAGAGTCTCTATCTCGTCCGAGCATTGAAAGGTCCACGACTCTACTCGAAATGAATGTCATCGGGGACAACTCATGCTGGACGACTTCGGTGTTTAATTTTCTGACGAAAGGGGAACTTCCTCTAGATCAAAGGGAGGCAGTCGCGACCAAACGACGTGCATTCTCTTATGTGGTGCTCGAGCATAAGTTGTATCGTTGTGGATTCTCCATCCCTCTTGAAGTGTGTCGAAGAATCCGTGGTCTCTGAGATACTACAGGAAATCCATGAATGAATCAACGCCCAACACATGGGCGGAAGGTCTCTAGCGCGAAAGGCGCTGCGAGCAGGGTACTACTGGCCGACCATGCAACAAGACGCCAAATAACATGTCAAGAGGTGCGACAAGTTCCAGAGACACGATGAAATGCACCTCGTATCCGCACGAGCTAAATACGCTATCCTCCCTGTGGCTATTTGTCTGGTGGGGAATGGACATCCTCGGACCGTTCGTGTAAGGGATATATCAGAACAAATTCCTCTTTGTGACCGTAGACTATTTTATCAAATGGATAGAGGTCGAAGCCCTAGCGAAAATCACCTTGCACAATATTCTCCTTTTCTACAAACGAAACGTGCTCGCTCGGTTTGGGATACCACAAGCGCTCGTCACTGACAACGGCACACAGTTCATCGACCAAGGTTTCCAAAGCTTCATTGCCAAACTCGACACCAAGCAACATTTTATCTCGGTGGAACATCCCCAGACCAACATGCAAGCCGAAGCCGCAAATAGGGTCATCTTGCGAGGACTCAAACACAGGCTGGGTGAAGTCAAAAGAGGATGGGTCGAAGAACTACACAATGTCCTATGGGCTTATCGAACAATGCCCCATTCAGCGACTGGTGAGACACCATTTAGACTGACCTACGACATCGAGGTCGTCATCCCGATAGAAATCATGGAGCCATCTAGGCGAACTAAAATGTCCTTAAACGAGGAGATGAACAACGAGGCCCTCAGAGATGAGTTCGACTTAGTCGAAGAAATCTAATCAGGAGCAGCTCTTCACGAGGCCACGTTAAAGCAATAGGTAGTCCTACGCCATGACAACAAAGTCGTAAAGCGCGAATTTCAGATCGGTAGCCTAGTCTTGCGAAGAAACCAGAAGGATTCCCGCGAGGGAAAGATGCCGCAAATTGGGAGGGGCCCCACCGCTTCCAGGGAGATACGGGCACCCGAGAATATTATCTCAAACAATTAAACAGAGAACCACTACCTCGACCCTGGAATGCTGTGAAGCTAAAACAATATTATAGCTAAGTCCTTCACCTGCTAAGGGCATTAGTTATCGACCAATCTTCTTCAATCGACGGAGGGATGAGCTCGGCCATGTAGGCACGTCTAAGATACAAACGTGGCCTCCAAACATCAATAAAGGCAAGGGGTTGCTCATTTGACGAGCAACATCTTAGCCCAACAGGGACACCTCAATCGAGCTCTCCTGTCGAAGTACCCAACATGGAAGAACACCCAGTTCGTGATGGACAGTTCACGCCACGAGTTTAGGATCCTGATCGCGATCTTATGCTCATTCTGCGGATCCTTACTCCGCCTCCTCGATACATTTCAACATGTGTCAAACTAATATTAGGGTCAAGCACACATCTTCACATGGAAAACACGAACTTTTCGAGAAAATTTATATCGACCACAACAAAGGTTGAACACACATCCACACAGAATACCCAAGTATTCATGGAATAAACGTCAAATGCAACGACTAACAAAAAATGATAAGCTAACATCAGCAAAAACATAGGCATCAAAGCAAAACAAAGCAATTATATAATGTCGATCACTAGAGCTGACGATGTCTGAATGTTACAAAAAATTACGGGCACACAGGCCCAAATATAAATAATAGTTGTCAAAAGAAAAACACTAATCGCTCCTCGGAGTGCCCACTTCATCCTCGGAAGAATTGGGGGGAGGGACGACCCGACCATCGACCACCTGGGACAGAACCCCAGTTCCTTCAGTGTTAAGCCCTGGGTTCAGAATGGACAGTTGGTTCAGGGAAACTTCAAAATCGTTGACCAAGGAGTCGACGCAGACTGACTCGAGGATCTGAATCATGGCAACGAAATCTGTGCGAGTGCGCAAATCAGTTATGCTCTCGGGCTCGTCCTTAGCGGGCGCCATAACAACTTTCAGATCGGTAACCTCCCTCTCCAACTGCTCCCTCTCGCTCTCCCACAACTCTTTGTCGAGCAGGAGGCTGTCCCTTTCCTCGAGGGCCTTGTCATCTCTCTCCTTCTCCCCCGCCAGAGCATCAGCATGTTCCCGAAATATCTCTTCGCTCCGTTCAAGGGCGGTCTTTAGCTTCCGTGTCTTCGCTTGAAGAGTCACATTTTTTGACTCCAGTTCCCTGACCCGACCAAAGGAGCTGGCCCTTTCATCCGCGAGAACCACGACCATCTCTGCCATCTTCATCACCCCGACCATACTGGAAGCCAAATGCTTCCTTTGACCTTTATCGTCGAGGCGTCTTATGATGTCAGACTCGTTGTCGTACACCGTTAGGGGGAAACCCTCAAAGAAATTATTCTCCACAAAGCAAGGTGGGAGGCTGAAGGCTCGAGCAGTGGCCCCTCCGGTCACATCAATAGTCCCCTCTATCAGGCGACTTCTTTTCCTGCCCAACGCAACATCTTGCTGGTCGGCCACGTGGGTCCCCAACGACCCACTAGATCCTTCCTTGTCCGGCTCGGAAACTGAGCCCACGCATGTAAATTGGTACGGCTTCACAACCTCTTGTGGATTTTCTTCTCTTGGGTCAGGTTCAACAGCCTCTCGCGATGTTCCGCCATGTTTCCTGCAAAAACAAAAAAAATCCTCTGGTCAGCCTCGGAAAAACAAAACAAGAAAGTATGTAAAAGTATAAGAACCGAGCAAGTAAAGACCTAAAAGTTCCACGGCTTGTCCATAAGATCGACACTCGATCAACGCCTTGGTGTTGATCGGGAGGGCCTCAAACATCGACTCACCGTCTTCATCAAGGATATCGTGTCCTTCCCTCGTGACCCATCGGGCAGGGAAGAAACAGTCGACGAATCGATTGAGGAGGCCATACGCCTCTTCGTCGTCGGCGCTCATACCTCCGACGA